GCATTCCCTCCCGAGAGTCACACTTTATTAGCGTCGCTTTATTATTACCTCCCGAGTGGATCCTCCGATCAATCCGCCTACACCTTCCGTATAATCATCGCGTTTCTGCTTCCTGCGATGATTACATTGCGCCGCGCGCGACACAAACGAAGTGCGAAGATCGTCATTCCTTTTTTTTTAGACGTGGGAATAGGTCTTCTTCTGCGTTTGGACATGGCGCCGCGCGCGACGTACGTAAACGTTTGCGTAATCCGATTCTTCGCACGTCGAGATGTATGTACATATAATAATATCTGCGAAGAGGACGCGAAGAATATCCTCTTCAGTCACTTCGCTCGATTCGTCAACACGAAGCTTACGTTATCGATACTGAGCAAAAGAAATACACAAAATTTAAATATACAATAAATTCAATCTTTATCTTTCGATATAATTTTTAAATTCGTATCATGTTGACACCTCCATATCGGAGCATGTTTATTTTATATCTTCTTGCGTCATAAGCTCGCTGACGCAATTTATGTCATTGTGAATCATATCGGTATTATAAAGATAATCTATGGGCACACAAAGTAAATCATAGTTATCTCATTAAAAAGTACTTGTACTTGTACGTAAAAGTACTTGACAAAAAAAGCAAAGGTTATCATCATTTAAAATATCCGTAATTTTTAAATTAAACAGTTTGCCACAAAAATCAAAATTGCTGCCTTTTTCAAATTAAAGAGTTCATACATATTATATTTTAAAAAAAGACATTAAGCATTAATAAGAAAATTAGGCGAGCTATAAGTTCTTTAATTTATACGCAATAATAAACAGCAATAATATAAGTTACGAAATAAGTCCGCAAAAAGACGGACACTTTTACATTGTAGTAATAATTGTACAACGAATATATTTCTCTTTCTTCTTTTTTTTTACAATCGTAAACGCGATACGCGTCTTTAAAGCGTAATAAAGCGCATTCGATATGATACAATGGACACAATGGAGGCTCGCAGAGATGAATAGCGGGTCGGCGCGTTGCGATAAATAGCATTCGCATTTTCCATTAATCACTGATCGCATTGCGTCGTCCCGCGCGAACGACACGGAATTCGCTCGATCGCGCCGATTCTCGAAACGCTCTCTACGAACATTATTGTTCGCCGACTTACATACCATTGACAGATCCCGCATGTGCCTGTCATTCAAATGGCTTATGAACAGCATTATTCGCAAATTATTCGCAAAGCATAGAGATTACGCATTGAACCGCCATTCGAGAACTTCCTTTGAAACAAAGTGACAATAAATATATATTTAGTCTGACATTCGAGAAGATAAAAAAAGTGAACTTAAAATTAAAATAATATTAGCCTAAAGTAAAGAAAATTTTATTTTAATAGAAATAAGGAAAACATAATAGCTCGTATAAGAATAAGATACAAGTGACAGATATAAATAGAAATATAAATTTCTTTCAATATATATTTCATAAATTTTGCAAATATAAAAACAAAAATTATTTATAAATAAAAAAATTGCAATTTTAAGCAATAAAAATTATAATTATCAAATATTACAAAAATTATTTTTTATTTAAATTACAATTTTTAAGTCATTAATTATTCTTCCTAAATTAAGCGTTAGTTTCTTGTTGTTTACAATAATAAAATGAATATGTAATAATAAATACGTTTTAGATATAAATTTATTTTAAAAAATACGAAATCAATGATAAAAAAGTGTGAAAAAAATTTATTTAAAAAAGTATGAAATCAATGTTACAATTATATACATATAATTTTTATTATTTTACCGATGGAGTTTGACGAGAAGAAATGCTGTCATTTATTAATCGCTGACCAACAGATGACGCCATCTTAGAAGATTAGATTCTTAGTGGCATATTATTGAATTTTTAGAATCATTAAACAAACCAATAATTTATTTACAAAGAAAAATAAAAAAATATATAAGATAATATTTCTTATGTAATTGATGTCAATTTTTTAATTTTAATTTTTTAAGTAATTAAATAGTATTTTTTTATTATTATTTAGTATTATATTGCATTTCTATTTTATAATGAAGCTTTATTATAAGAATAATAATTTTATTGTATATTTTTTCAAATTTTACATTTATACATATTTATGTTATTGTTAAAAGTAATTTATTTAAAACATATGATTATAAAATTTATTTTATATTGTTATTAAACACATACATTTTTTACGTATAATATCATTTCAGCATCGGTTTTCAGTTAACTTTACATTTTTGTTGGAATGTTGTGTACACGTTATCTATAATTGTAGGTAGGTGACTTACCAAGAGCTGCGGTGTCCGAGTGGTTAAGGAGTTGGACTCGAAATCCAATGGGCTTTGCCCGCACAGGTTCGAATCCTGTCCGCAGCGATCTTTTTTTTTATTTGATCTTTTCTTTATTTCCTTACATACGATATTTATGTAACGTTAATATTAATAAAATTATGAATATTTATCTAATTTTTATATATTTTGTCAATTTTTATCGCTTGACACTCTGGATCGTCGCGTAGCTATTCCTCTTAATCTCGCATATTATGTTTAACATTATTAAATCAATTGGAAAGGGAAATTAGTTCTTTATTCTTTGGCCAAGAATTATAAAAAATTTTTTATACATAGTTCTAATTTCTAATAATTTCTAATAATTGATAGTTAAAACAGACGTTATCATGCAGGTAGCTTTCTTCTTGATCTCGCCTACTATATGTTTTTATAAAAAGTATAAATTATGTATAAGTTTAATTATGTATAAGTTTAAATAAATAAATAAATTTTTAAAATATCTTCGGGATAATGCGTAGCTCTGTGTGAGAGCAATTGACTATACACCGGCAGGGTTCCGGGTTCGATCCCGACTCGTATACATATATCTCACATATATTTCGATTTAATCGAAGTATCATCACAAGCTAAGCCAAGGAAAATAATGGAAAACGTATAGTTATAGGAACTACAACTGTGACCTGAAATTTAATAAATTAATAGTTTATTAAATTTCAAATCATAGCTGTAGTACGTATATACTATACGTTTTCCATTATTTTCCTTGGCTTAGCTTTTGATGATACTTCGATTAAATCGAAATATATGTGGGATATATGTATACGAGTCGGGATTGAACCCGGAACCTGCCGGTGTTATAAATAATTTATTATAAAGCAACTTGCAGGCGCCAGACATTGTCCTGATCAAGAACTGACGCGAGAAGTACACATACAATACATAATATTATAAGACAGGTATAATATGACATTATATGTATAATGTATAACATACTTCTGACACTTGTTCTTGATCAGGATAATGTTGCAATAAATTGCTTTATAATTTTTTTGATCGGTATTGAAACGGTCTCCTATCTCCCCAAATACTGAACGTTCGTTTTGATTACCAGTAGATTATAGTCCATTTGACGCTACAAATACCTCGAAGTATTTTTTTAATTGGTCAATTCATAAAATTCTTTGTTTCGATTGGTCATTCAATCAAACGCTTCGAAGCATTTGTAGTATATACAAGTGGATTGCATTTTTCATATTTAGCCTTCTCTTTCTCCTTCTTTAACGTTCAACTATATATACATATATTCATCTCGTTTTAAGAGCAAAGATTTTTGAATATTTCAAGCAACACGAACAAATCTGGTGTTCCATGTTCCGATATATACTGCCAGTACTGAAAATATATAGTATATGTAACGCGAATTACAGATTAGTACATTCTTTTTACTCTTTGACCAAATATTATAGAAAATTTATTACACATAATTGTAGCAACTACGATAGTTAAAATAGGCATTACTATACTTATTTATTTATTTTAACTTTAAGTCACTATACCGAGGTAAAACATAACCAGCACGATTTAATCATTTCTGAAATTACTATTCTTTAAATTACTACTTGAATATACTGTCGAACCTCGATAACTCGAACCTCTATAACTTGAAAACCACTCGAATTTTTTCCTTTAAAAGCCATTATAATCGGAAAATTATAAACTCTCGTACAAAGCTTCCGTAAATTGAATTTTCATGTCAATTCTCTTTTACTCAAACTTTAGTCAAAACTTCTATAACTCGAAGATTTTTATAGCTCCTCCCTTGAGATTCGAGTTATCGAGGTTCGACTGTATTACTAAAATATTTTTTATTTGATTCTTGTTTATCTGTCTTAGGCAGACCCTGAGGTATCGATTTCACACGTGTTGAACTAAAAATTATGCTTTTAGAAGTATAGCGTGATAATTAACTGTGACATGATGGGGAAGATAACCAAAAATAACAATAGTCACCTAGGATTAAAATTGATAATAGACATTTCGAAATAAATCCACTTTAATGTCCATTTCTACCAATGTAGATTAACTTTAATCTCGGTTTAATTTATTTTTTTATCTTTTTTTAATTCTTAGAACTAGAAAAAAGATACAAAATAAATTAAACTAAGATTAAAGTTAATCTACATTGGTAGAAATGGCCATAAGAAGAAATGCAACTCTAAGAAGAAGTCATATAATGTGCATAGATAGTGGCAACCTGTGTCAAACGTTCGTATCGTATCGCCCGTACCAAAAAGATAACGCGTTCGAGCATGAATAAAGAAATGACATAAGAAAAATGTCAAAATATTGGTCAACATCCGGAATACCGAGGGTTGTCGTGAAAATGTCCGGCTGTTTAGGCCATTCAAGGAACGCGCTATCAGCGCATTTTGTATTATTTTCTCTTTATCGTTAATTAAACGTAAAACAAAAACAGATGTAATAACGCTGATAGCATGCTTAATAACGCATACTTCAGGGAGCGCGCTGTCAGCGCAGTCGTGTCATTCTATCCTTGTTATTTTATGTTCAATGAACGATAAAGATAGATTGACAGAATAGCGCGCTAATAACGCGCTCCCCGAACGCAGCCTTAGTCATCGGGAACCGTTTCGAAATGGAACTCCGTGACGCGATTCCTCGGAGAAGGAGTTACGGCCGCCTGCGCGCGGAGATGAGTTCCATCGCGATCAAGACGCTATCTCAATTGACCTATGGCCCCACCACCCTCCCCACGGATTCACCGCTCCGCTTATCTGCGATATGTGTGGACCGACCCTCACGTCGACCTTCTTTCACTTGGCTACGAACTACCGTCGAAGATGAACCGGAACTTCGCACTCGCCACCGCTGCCGTCCTGATCCTGGCCCTGTCCGCGGCCTACGCGGAAGTCGTACACTTCACCTCGTGTCCGTCCTCCTGTAAGTACTCTCCTCTATTTTAATTAGCGAGCTGCTTAATTAAACGGCACGCTAATGAAACGACGTTATCCCGAGGGATACCTCCGTGATAACGACGGAAGTGACAGAAGCACGTTTCTCGCTCGTGATGTCGTCGGTGACCCTTGCTCGCGCCGTCGATGGAAGTTGGGAAAAAAAATTGGGTTAAAATCGCGTTGTTCGGTAGATACGATTAATAGCGTGCTTTTATCGCCCTCGGAGCGACGAACTCTCGTTTAACGTGATTGCAACGTCTCGGGAGCGCGAGTAAATAAGCCGGACGTATCTGAAACAGGAATGGCTCGGCGACGACTTTTATTTGCGCATTTTTATTTCCAACTTCGATATAGCTATCGCACGAATGTTTCGCGAAGGGGGTGAGAGGTTATTTACAAGTCTGACGCATCTCGATGTGAAGTATTCTGCTTATTGATTTCAATAAATGTATTGATCGTATCAAATTTTGTTGAGATTGGTCTCTTTCGAATGCGACATTTGTAATTATAGAAATATTAAAATACTTGCTAAAGGAGATTCTGAGATTATTATAGTATTAAGAAAATTTATTGTATGCATTAATTATTTTAAAATGTATTACGAATTGACGAGCGAACAATATCAAATTCAAAATTATTGTCTTCAAATTAACATTTCGGAAAGATTAACAATTTATTTAATCTGAAATTATAAAATTTTTATAGCAAAATTTGCGATAATACACGAAATCTCTTAAGTATACAAAAATATAGAATAATAATGATGAAAATCACTGTACGATTTGGATTTAAGCCAAGTATTAATGTCTGCTAAGTATCGTTACAGTTAGCGTTGCTATCTTAAACCATAAACGATCCATAAACTATGGCTAGCGAGAAAAAAAGAATGTGAGAATGAAGCAATAATGCTTCTTTCTATGCAAACAAAGGAGACTACTAGACTGAAATAACATCGTTTTCGTCTTTCTCTCTCACGTGCCACGTGAATTATGTGAATCGTCTATATGTATAGAACAAAATCATTTTGCAACCTATTACAAACCTTTTTCTCTCCGCAAGATATTAAGTTAAAAAAATTTTACAAACTTTTGAAGAATTTCTGTATCTACTCTTATGTAAAAAATATAACAATACGAGGATTCTCTTAATTCTGTAAGAATGTAATTTTAAATGTTGTTGATAGAAAAAAATCATCATGATTAGCTAATATAGTGCCACTAAATTATATACGATTCAAGATTCAATTATACACGGTCAAGAATACATATGTATATTTTAGAAAGCTCAAAATTTATTAAACGCTGTAACCACCCCGTTAGGTAAATTTGATTAATTAGATGATGCACAATACGTTCAATTTATAATAAAATACTATTAAAACGTTAACAAAATAATGTCGACGAAGCAGAAACGTATTAAATGATAAAGTAAGAGAAAATTTTTCTTTCTTCCTGTATAGAAAACGAAAAAGTAAATGTTGAACAGCAAAGCTAAATGTTACGTTAATATTCTTTGATGAAGGTTCGATACGAACGAGAGTTATTAAAGACAAATAGCATCAAGTCGAATTTACTGCTTGCGAAAAAGAGCAGATAAACTTTTCAAATAAAATATCTCTCGGAGAGAAATACATTGAATCAATGAAACGGTGGAACTTCGACTTAAGAGAGATACGTATGTTGCACGAGATACGAGATATTTTAAGTCTTGTAAATTTTTTACGCGTGTTTATCGCGAGTATTCAGAAAAGTTTTTCCAACGCGACTTGTGTCTTGTAACTTATAATCGAGTGATCCGCGAAGAACATTCAATATATCTCGCAGGGAGACGCAGAAAAATAATTAAAATACTTGTATTTGCTTCGTCGTTCTGCCTCAAGGGCAGAAACTTCGCGGTTTCGAATTAATTTGCATTGATCTACCGAGATTATAACGTCAATGATACGTGCCACATCATTAAACGCGTATTTCCTTCTCCCTCTTTTACTGCAGTTTACGCACGCTTATCTGATTATTTCTTATACAGAAGAAAACTGAATTTTTTACGGATTACGTAGACGCATAATGATAATATAAGAGTAAACACGACATCGGCTTATAAGAAATGTTATGCAAATATATCAAATTTCCTCTTAGCATACATATATTTTAGACAAGATACGTCTTACGCAGCATTATAGATTATCATGTTATAAATTATAGATTATATTTTATACGATTTATTCTACTTTTAATTGATTAGGATGCGTAAAATGAACTGTGTATCTATCGCTAAAGATGATAAAAATAACAAGAGTAACATGAGAATGCGAGACTGAGATAGCAGATTCAAAATTTATTGTAAATTTTTTATATTAATTGAATCAAATTTTATTTAGTCAAAATTAATTTTTTCATATTAATTGAATCGAATGAATTACTAGTCAAGAAAACTAACTGTAGACAACATAATTTTTTAATTAATTTATATTTTGATTTCTCTCCCGCCTTTCTTCTCTCTCTCTCTCTCTCTCTCTCTTTCTCTTTATAACTTATGAGAAATAAATTCCTTTTGTGTAAAATATAAAAAATTAAAAATAGTTTTAAATATACAGATAAACTCTTCATAAAATCTTGTTTCTTACGTTTCAGCCGAGGAAAATACAGAATGTACTATACACGAAGTACGCGTTGATCCATGCAGAGAAGCCGAAGAACAAAAGCCCTGTTCTATAAAGAAAGGCCGCAATGCAAGCATAAGTTTTGACTACACCACACGTAAGTATACCCTCAAAGTATCATAAATGCTTGATCCATACATAATAATAAGTTTGGACAAACACATGGATATACTTTCAAACTTAAGCGTAAAAAAAGAAATAAAATTGATCACATTCTTTATGTATACAGTTACATATTTTGTATTCAGTTTAGTATTTATGTAAGATGTTCGGAAATACGACATAACAATAACGATCATAAGTTATTACTGTATTGATATATTTTTAGTAAAATATTAAACAAAAGGATTATTGAAACAGTATTACCGGTAAAAAGATATCAATGCAATAATTCTAATATCCCGCAATAAGGCGTATAAAAATCAGTATTCCAGCGAACATAATTAAATAAATTAATCATAGCAAAAGTGAACAGCCATTTATATAAAATAAATTGGAAAATATCTTTGCTTTATGCTTTGATTTTTTTAAACGGAAAAATATATTTTATTTTTTAAAACTCAATATTATCGGTCTTATAATTTAAACGATTGTACATGATTATTAATGATACCTATATATATTTTTTATTTCAGAGTTCAGTGGAAACGTATCCAGCAGAGCATACTGGGCTTCTGAGATTGTGGATTTGCCATTCTTGGGCATGCCGCTCGATGCTTGTCGTACATCGACCATTTGCCCAGTCACACCTGGTCAAAAGCAATCGTACTCAGTGTTTTTGCCTATCTCTAAGAAATTCCCTGCGGTAAGTGATGCTTCGATTTCCATTTCGATCCTTTCGTAAACCTCTCCACAAGTTTAATATCTCACATTCGTAACTTCTTACATTGAAACCTAGTCCAAATATTGAGATGTAAGAGACATGAAATTTAAACATATATAATTCAAGATGTAGGAAAAAAAGTTTATAATACATAGATATTTTTAATATAAAATAAGCAAATTAATCGTAAACGTTATTTAAAAAATATTTTCTCTTTTATTGCAGCGAACGTATGATCTCAAATGGAAGTTATGGAATGAACAAGATCAAGGATGCTGTTTTATGTTCCAAATTAAATTGGTAAAATAAAATTGTTGTTCTTAAATCTCCAATGTATCATCTTTCGCAATGATTATAATTCGTCAATCAATAATTTAATGAAATAAACGATATATTCATATCAATAATACTACCTTTTATTGTATCCGTCTTTATATCATGTCAAATTCAACAAATACTTATTAGACAACAATTAAGTAATTTTATACAAATATACTATCATAATTAATCAACGATTCTTAACTAGAAAATTCGGGAAAATATTTTGCATAAGTATTAAAAATCAATTTAGTTCAATTTTATTCGAAGTATTTCAATTTGATTAAGTTTGAATTTACGTAATATATACAACATTATTGTTTTCGTGTTATTTATATATGTATAAAACACGCGATCTCGAAGAGTAAAACAGAATATTTAGCATTTATTATTTTTTATCAATAACAATTAATATATATATTACAATACAATTTGTCGATGTAATAAATACTAAGGAATAAGGAGATTTATAATTGTGATAATGTTACAATTATTTTACAAATAGTTATAAATAATAAAACGTAATTAGAAAATAATATCGCCATGAGGTAACGCTATTTGCAATTGAAGTAAAAAATTATAATTAATAAATACTGCATGGAAGAAATGGAATAATATCTATGGTCGATATTCATGGTCCGTTTTCATTTCAAGATCAGTTATGTTTTAAAACGGTTAATACGGCTCTGTGATTAATTCATAAGATCTTAAGTCTATATTTAAGGCGGTCTTAGATATAAAAACGGATTATGAATACCGACATTTTATTCTGCATTTTTAAAAGTAAATCCATTTTTATACTAGCCAGGCGCCACTTGCTTTCTGAATGTTTCAAGCGAAATGTATCCATATCCGAAATGTCATCAGTGAAATTTATATGTCTTTAGACATAAATTGATCGCATGAGTTTTAATTTTGCCATTTCCGAAGTAATCTATCTGCGAAAACTAATTGAAGTTTTGTGACATATACTTACATTGCAAGAAATTGAATTAATAATATATTTTAGCGATCTTTCTGTTTAATTGTAAGAGCAATTGCTAGAAATATTTATTTTTTAATGAAATAATCAGATGTTTTCGAAATATATGTTAAATTTATTTATGTATTAATAAATTTAAAAATGAAAAATATATTTTTATGTTGCATATATTGAACAATAATTTTTGTCAAATATGTGTGCTTATTTTATTTTAATTTTACATGATTTTCTAATGCATGTATTTGTAATTCAAATACATTTATATATTGTGACGAAATGGTTAAGTTGATATTCTTAGCCATTAAGTCGATATTCTTAGTCACTTGTCCATCAGCAATAATAAGTTGTTGAATTGTAAGAGTATTTCGTCAGTAGAAGGGTCAATACTACGACCCTATATGTGATTCGGTCTATGTCTAAAGCTGCAAAACATCCTTGGACAGACATAATGCGTGAGTTCGACACAATACCATCGTTCAGTCACACACGGTGAGAGACCGAGCGACGCAAAGGCCCACACAACGTGGCGCGGCCTCAGATGTCCAATCAAAGACGAGACTGCTAGAAAAATAATTGGCCACAATTGTTAAATTGTGCATTTCCTGATAAAAGTGGCCGGAAGGCCGGTCTCGCCGTCGATTCTGTCGAAATTTACAATACGCGCCAAGCGACGACGTGCGAGCTCATCCGAGCTGCGGTCCCTTTAGACCGCTTTAGACTCACAATCGCGCTGACTCTTTTATCTTCGTCGAAGGAAAGCGGGAATGTAGGTCATTCGCCGGACATAATCGGAAGCATTATTTTCCGTCCGACCGTCAATTAAATTCATCGAACGATTCTTATTCGTTCAACGTCTATTACACGATTGTCCCTTCAATCGCTTCTCATGTTTATAAATTTGTTCGCCGGGAAGGGATATCAAGTATCAGTTTCATTTATCTTCATACCGTTGTATCCACCCGCGGCGCCTGCGATAATTATATTCGTGACTTGTACAGGGTCGAACTAGGGTACACGAGCAGATTGGGCGACCGACCGAGAGTTAGACTAAATTAACGGCGCCAAGACAATTGATATTTCAATTTTACGTAATGTTTGATTGCAAAATTGTATTCCAGTAAACATTGCAATATTGATTGCAATGTAAATTTTAAACTACACAGCCGCTACACAGCTCTATTTATTTTTTTGATATTTTGCATAGTCTATTTTCCAGATTAAAAAAGATTTTAAATTAACTTTCTTAACTTAATATTATTGTTGATTTAATATTAGTATCCATCGAAAATTTATACTACATTGATAATCAAATGTGCTGATATATTTTTTTAAAACAGATTTTGTATTTCTAGCAAAATATGCTTATAATAAAAAATATCGCTTAATTCCTTCAAATCTAATTTTCCTCAATTAAAATTAATGTCATAATAATTTGCGTAATTTGCTTTACTTTAAACATAAAGATTAAATTAATTATTCAACTTGAAGGAGTTAATCCAATCGAAACGCAAACATAGGAGTCAACGGTTAATTGTATAATCTGTCTGTTTGTAATGGTAAGCTGAGAGAAATCTTACCTACAGTCATTAACGTAGGAGTATTACACAACGTAAAGTATCTCTGAAATTTCAATGAAATGCATTGTCATCCCACTTTCACGGAACCGCTCGTCGAGGCCGTTTCCGCCGTCAGAAATCAAGCGATTAACGCAACGATTAACACGGCAATTGTAACCGTTGTCAGATGCACGTGCGGTAATAAACCTGTACGTATTTAACAATAATATTGTTGCACAAAGGAGACTTCCGGTCCTTGTTACAATCGATCGAGGATAATCGTAAGCGAAATAATTATTGTCCGGAGCGCCGATTACCGGCGCGGCTCGGCGCGGCGCGGCCCGAGGTCAGGGGCCATAATAACAGATCACTTGGCCCGACCCGTACGGCATACGTTGTAACAGTTAATGCGCAATTATTCAATTGGAGGCGGTTGATTCACACAGGAACCGGCCCGCGGCAAAAAGTTCAGAAAGCATGTCGCGTAAACCACACGAATTTTCGTCGACGCCGATGAACAAGAGCGGCTCCGTCACGAAGAATTTATGTTACCTCCCGATAAAAATTTCTATTAGTTACAAACATAAGATATCATATTTGTGTGTGTGTGTGTGTGTGTGTGTGTGTATGTGTGTGTGCGTGTGTGTGTGTGTAATACATTAAATTTATCTTAATGTTCAATCGTATTTCACAGAAATTATTAATGTTTCAACGTTTCTGCTAACAAGCATTGGCTGTAAGTGGAATAAGGAACAAAGTTGTGTGCAAACGGTTTCATCGATTCTGGTATACGCAGTTATATTGTTAAAGCGGCTTTGTAAGCCGCTTAACATCGTGGAGCCGATGAAAATTTATCGGCATTAAGTAAATCCTAGAAGAGTTTTACCTGCAATAATGTCATTTATTAAATACAAAATTTAACAAAACACTTGATATAATAATAATTATTATCATTATATTAATAATAATACAAATACTCAAAATAAAAATAATATTAATAATACAATAATAATAATATAATAATAGAAATATTTATAGAGAGCTAATTAACTGTACAATACTTAGTATGTCGTCAGAAAAGAAAGTGAAAGTAGAGACACGTAGCACCAGCCAGAAGCTTAATTTGTCTATCGTTCTTAATATATTAATCAGAGCTAATTGCTGGAAGTACAACCGTACATAATTCAGATTTTTAAACAATGCATTAATGATGCACATTATCGTTTAATTATCTCTACGTCTACAGTCTATGTATTCTCGAATGAGAGTACAGAGTTTTTTTTTTACTCGAGTATCAAAGTGGCGTGTCTTCTCGTTTCTGCTATCCGCGATCACAAGCAGCGATTATCGTTGTCGTCGCGACAAGGGAACAGGTATCGATTCTTTGGTATCGACATAACGCGGCGCATGCTGCCATGCGACCGAAATTTCGGTAGTATAAAAATATGAAGCGAGCAAGAGTATATCGGGGAAAAAAGTAGCATTTTGTGCCATGTCTAATTGTTCCATATAAATTATCTATAATCTGTCTCAAGAAAAATGGAATTGTTCTAACAATGCGAAATATCTAGTAATCGTAATAAAAAAAATCTCGGTTACCTCGTTCTTTGATTTTACAAATTATATTTACGTATTACGATGTTTTTAGACGCTGTTAGAAGACAATGTTATTACCCACAGAATTGGATGTAGAATTTTGCAATGCAACAATTGAAGAGATATCAGAATATTCGGAAATATACATACGATATACTGGAAGAAAAGATATCCTTGAAATATACTGGAATGTATGAGGAAAAAATCTCGGCCGTACCACTTTCACGATGTCCGTACGTCTCTTTGGCAAACATACTTGTGTGAGATTCGTTGTTCCCAATGTGCGCGGCTCTCCTCGAATCTAATCGTCGATTTTATCAGCGCCACGAATAACCGCACACGCGGTAGTGCCGTAACGTCGGCTTTCCGTACGTGTAATCTAAATCTACATAGTAATCTCATTATTTAACGAACGATACGAGAGAGTAGTCAAGATTCTCGTGGATCGTCTTTGTATCTCCAGTCCCTCTTCTTGTATAATACAAGAACGATGTAAATCTACCGCGCGACAGCATCGGTAGTATTGTATATTTACATTTTGATTGGTCCCCTTATAAAACTGTTTGTGAATTTGCAATTTACTTTATGTGAAAATTATACATTATAATTATATGTACGAGCTTTCCCTCCTCCTCGATGCACATTTACATATTGTTATCTCTTCGAACGCAATGGAAAAGTTTATAAAGCATTAAGTATGTAACTTAAAGTTCCTAATGTCAATGTTTATTAAGTTTCTATTTTAATCCCAGACGTTGTTTTCATCATAAGCCAATTATTTCGCAATATTCGAAGAAACGCATTATCGATTTACGATAATGAGGAAATGCGAAATATTCCAGGAATGATTACGATGATATCTGGGTCATATAAATATATATCGGAAATAAACACGTTCAAAATTAAAGCAATCAATATGTAGCGTATTTTCAGAAAATTCGTTCAAAAAGACAATGTACAGATATTTATTGGCATATTACAAATTTATCGTTATCATAAATGCCATTTACGATTACGATCGTTATCATAAATGCCAACATTATATATTTGAAAAGTTTTCTCTTTAGACATTTCAATTTTTTGTGCTTACAGCATTTTCTCTACGTCACCCTTTTATTTATTTAAACATGTAAATGTGCATTCAGAAATTGATTCTTTTTCAATTTGTACCGAACAAAAGCGCTTTTTTACACTTTTTTACGTTAATTGAATGACCACTTTACAAATTACAAACCACATATCGCCGTATCTTTTGCCCCTGGGATTAATGTGCAGCAGTGAACTCGCAGCAGAGAACAAATCTGTCAACTCAAAGACGAAACAATTTCAGCGAGCGTAGCTTTCAGACGGCTATTGATTGAAACGGGGGAAAAGAGCCGTCGAGCTCAAACGGACCGTTTTCAAGCTCGAGAGCTCGTTTACGAGAAACGCCTCGAGGAACGTTCTAATGCGTTCATCGGTCAACGGCACACAAAACGAATATTCCCCCGCCAGATCTTCCGTTCTTCATTTTCCTCTTTATTCCGCCTTTTTTCCCGCAGATTCCTTCTGCTTGCGTCGCGAAACGTTTTTGCGCCGCGCCGTCCGGTGGATTTATACTACGTAAATTGGATCCTTGCACACGGAGATTCTTGCTTCCTGGAGAATCCTCAATCTCGGGCCCAGGGGAACCCCCATCTTCTGAAGTCTCTCCTCGCTTAGATAAGGCAATTCCACCATTCCGACTTTCTCTTTCTCGAAAGCGGTCGCGTATTTCTAGAATTATAATTATAATCGTTGAAGGCAGAAATTTCGATCAAGGGCCAGTGCGAAATGCATTTTTTTTTAGTCAAAACATTTATGATTCAGAAAATCAATATTCTATTTTAAAAAAAAGTAATTTCAAATATTGAAGAATTTATCCGTTGCTTATCTCTGCAAAACCGCGCGTGACGTAGTAAACGATGTCACATACCTCATACCCAAGTTCCCTCAGGAACAGTCTGATAAGAGGTGGCTCCGTACCGAAAAACTTGGTCAGTTTCTTCACTCTCGAGGGATTCGAAAGCGCCGGCAGTTCTGAATCCTTGATCAGGGGCTGCGACTGCGATCTCACCATCGCCATGCTCGTTTGCGTTCTGAGGGTCGCGATCTCGCACTTTATGCTCTCCATTTCCTGCGAAAACCTGATAGTAGTAAAATCTTGGAGATTCCAGCTTCATTTCGTACCGTAAGTGTTGTTAACGGGCTCTCTCACCTGAATCATCAGATGCTGGGTCCTCATCTCCGAGCTCAGGTGGGCCACTGATCTCGCCAATGTCACTACGTGCGACTCCAGTCGCTGAAAACGCTTGTTGATGCTCTAAACAATTAAAATACATTTCATGGTGATTTTATAATAATTAATATTTTAAAAACTAATGATTTTCTTTTTTACATAAGACACAAAATGCAGCACGTTCTAAATTTTAAATCTCTAAAAAGTTCAAATAGAACATCGTATATGAGAAAATAGAAATTAATAATAATTATTAAATCAATTAATAAAAATTAACGTCAAATATGTTTATATAAATAAACTTCATTCACCTTAATATCTTTGGCTTTCTTCATCCTGTCGTCAATCACGTGGGATCTACGTTTATCGTGATGCCTCGTGACAGGCCTCGATGACACGGAGGATGTCGGCAACGACGAAACCGAACCATAACTAGTGAGTCCTCTCGCCTTCCGCCTCTTTTTCACGCTCCCGCCGAGTAATTTAAGTACCTGCGACAATTTTTTCGCATGCAAATTGAAATAAATTCAATTACGCTCGCGCCATCCTGAGCACTTTTTAACGTACAACGTCTCCGTTAATTTTAACACACAGTGCCATTTCTCCGCGACTAGAAAAAGCAATATGTTTAATGTTTTCTTCACGTCTTGCTTCTACTTACAGTTATATTAAAATATTAAGTAAAATAATAAGAAAATATTTTTAACACGTTTTTTAAACAAATTTAGTAACACAAAATCTATTTTTAGTTTCAAAAGAATATATAAAGTAATCTCTTCTTCTTGATTTTGTACAACCTCATTTTCACGGGAGAAAAAAATAATAATAAAAAGGAACACATAATTTTATTAAAATAATAATCGTAACGTCGCCGCATCGAATAAAAATTGTACTCACTTCGCTATACATATTTTCTAATCCTTCCAATTGTTTCCTGATCGTTCTTGCATCAGTGGTACTGAGATCGGAGTCGCTTCTGTCTAACATAGAGTCTAAATCGAGTCCCGTCGTGGTGGATGTTAAATCAGCGGCTTCTACTCCGAAAACTAAAAAGATATGAACAGTTCATACAGAAATATCACATTTAAAAAATTCATAAAACTAACTATTAATTATTCTGGAATGTATAAATTTGATTATAAAAAGTTGTTATATTCATAATGATTAATTATCATCTCTATATATCTATCTTTTTTTTTTAATAAAAATAAATTTTATATGCGTTATTTATTAATACGAAATTATGATATCAAGATTAATATTTTAAATAAAAAATTATTACATTAAGAAAACGAATTTTACAATAATATGTATATCTAAAGAAATACTCACGATGAGAAAACTTTTTCGCAGCTTCCTTCTTGGATGTTGAAGCACCACGATGTTTTGCATTGCTCGAGAAACCTCTTTTTTCCATAGCCTTGCTGTAGTCATTGTAATTTGGTTTCGATCCATACGGTAAACTAAAACGAAGATTTTATTAATACAAGAGCACTCGCATTTGAAATAATAGCAAAATATTACATAAGCATTAAATCTTTTTGTAATCAAAGAATATTTTATACAAAAATAATTTATTAGAAATATTGTGAGATTATTCGTTTAATCGAAAAAATAATGAAATAATTAAGGATTAATGTTTCGAATCAATATCTTGCATCCGAGTCTCGTGTGACTAACAATTTAAAAGTTGCAACAGAGAGGCGTCTATTTTTAACATCGCATAGGCCACTTTTCGGCCAGACATCGATATCGGAATTTCGATACGCGAGGTAGGTAACAGAATCGGAAGTGACTCGGATGGCGGTGACCGGAAGTAACACCGGTTGCATGAAGAAGAGGGAACCTGTTTGAAGTTGAGTTACCTTGTTGAGTATCGATTTCTCGGCGTACGTGGGCTGTCATGGGGTGACAGCGGTGGCAGAGGCGGTGTTACTGAGGATACGCTTTCGGACAGGGTGGAGTGCGCCATCGCTGGAACGTCCCTGGGCTCCAAAATACTCCTCAACTCCGACTCCACAATGTCCACCCATTCGGAATCTTGTACTGCGAAAGAGAAACAAGGAGATAGAAAACAGACTTCGACGGAGCGATCGATACTGTCCAACTTCTTGAAAGAAGAATAAAAGTGACTTCGCAAATGTAAAAAAAGATATGACAAAAGATACAATAGAAATATAAATATATCATTTTTAATATACTTTTAATTAATTTAAATAATTTAGTGTATAATCAATTTTTAATATTATATTATATAAATATAATATTATATAAATGAATAAAGCAATTTATTGTAAGATTTCTTCTGTAGAATAATTAAAAAATAAACAATAATTCACATTATTTTTATATCAATTTATTAAAATAATATATAATAAAAAATTTATTCTTTGCGAAGCATGTAATTACGTTTTTAATTAATATTTTTGCAAATGCTAAGTAAATGTTAATAAATTTTTCTTAACAAATGAGAGAGAAATAAAATAATAATTCACAAAAAAAAAAACTATATTTTTGTCAATTAATAAAAGAAAATAATTTTGACAAAATTGAAAAATAATATATTATTAAAAATTCTTCAAACATATATTTTTATTAATATTTTTATCTGACTGTTAATCGTGAAAATCTAGACTAAATATATAAAAATCGATTTGCCGTTTTATAGAAAACAGCTGACGCTGGAAAAAGTAGCCAAAAGCACGTGTATTTGTGTATGTAGTATGACAACTACAATCAAAAAGTTCAAGGTAAAATCAGAAAGTCGATTCTTACCTTGCGCCAAAGTTTGATCATCGGGCGGCGGGCGTCTTCCGCTCGAATAGACTGCGGAGCCCCTTCCGGAATCGACATTCGAAGAACTCTGGCCGGCCTTGTCGTAATCCGAGCCTGAGCCTTGATTCTGGATCTTCAGCCGGCCGATACCCTGCTCCAGATCGTCTTTCCTATCTGATTTCACAACGGGCTCCTTTCCGCTATATTGCCCACCATCGAGCCTCTTCGATGCCTCGCCGATCATTTTCGTGGCCAGGCCGACCCTTAAGCCGTCCGCGTCGTCCTTTGGTAGCTTAGAGTTGAAATGACCCTCCTGCTCCGCTCTCTTCTGCAACTCTTCGATCCTCTTCTGCACGGAGTGTCCCTCCGTCGTGTCTTGACCTCCCTCTTGGCCCGACGATCCCTGCTCCTGCTCCCTCTTCGACGCTCGTGTCTCGTCTCTCCGAATGCCAAAGCTGGTTTCCGGACGATACTCCTCATTCCTTTGTAATCCGTTTCTTCCGGGCTCGCATTGACTTCGATCTTCCACCGTGATCTCATATCTAAAATGCATAGCACACTCTTATAAACTTTTAAAAATTCTATTACACACACACTAATACTTTAACTCTTTTCAACGTATTATATCTTTTAGTTGTATTCGCTACGTCTGTAGAAACCTTATTATAGTACGTTTGTTCTCCTCAAGTTCTTACCTCTCCTTGTCCAGCGGATCTACTGTTAAATTCTTCATATTCTCTCCGGGATTTTTCGAAGCCTCGGCATTTCGCTCGTCTTCGTAACAGAGTTGCGGCTGGGAAGCCGCTTTCTCGATACCCTTCGCAGAGTTCCGCCTCTGAAATTCCGTTTCCTGATTACTCTCAGTCTTCATGTACACCTGGGGAACGCCGTAACGAGGTCTTCCTTGAGCGTAATGATAGTAGACCTCCTGGCCCGATACCCGGAGCTCCTGCGCCTGCCTTGACGTGCTCGGAAGATCGATCTGCGACCTCGACATCGCCTGTCGCGCCTGCTGATACTGCTGATAAGAGACGCTGTTGGAGAAGTACGACTGCTGCATGTTACGCGCGGTAGCATTTTGCGAGCCCTGCTGGCCGACCATTTGCTGCTGGTGCATCTGCTGGATCAACTGCTGACGCTGATGCATGTTCTGGGCGTGCTGCTGCGCGAACCGCGGGCTCTGGTGATGGTTTTGATTCTGATGGAGCAACTGCTGAGGGCTCTGGAAGCTCGGGCTCGTCGGCGGCATCGTATTGCCCACTTGATGCTGCTGCACGGACAGACCGTGCGGTTTTTGCACTTGCGTGCCTTGCCCCTGAACCAACCAACCGGTACGTTAACAATAAGCTAACCGTTAAATCCGTGAATGCCTATCTGCTTTTTGTCGAACCGCTAACGTATTGGAGATCTACTTCAGTTAAAGCTTTAATTAGCCTTTAGAGAACGATAAATTTACTCGTTCTCAGAGTTCAATAACTGCGTTATTCTCTACTTAATTTTCTTTTACAAGCAGGAACATTTATTCGTAACAATGATATCTTGATCTTAAATTGTACAACCGAGATCAACAACAAATTAATGTTAAATGACTAATTTGTCTGTATGCTTTGTTTAGCAAATTGATAAAGTTTAAACAATTATTATTTTAATAATTAATATTAGAAATAATATGTTATACATAACAAAACTTTTGTAAAAGAATTTATACATGTTATTTTTTATGTTGGGACCCTCTTTTGTATTTTTTATCATTTTAATCACAACAACGATTGTGCAATGATCGTCGTCGTTGCATGGATCGCATTATAAAAAGAAGTAATCCCGTACAATTTCCAGCGTGATTATGTAAATTTTACAGACTTCTTTATGAAGATTTCCCATCGTGTACGCAACATACAGCGTAGAAAGTTGTTGAGACGCATCATTATGAATAATATACTGTGCACTGTTCGTCTGGTGATTTAGCTCTCCGTATATAGCACCGTGTTAGGCATGTTCACTATCATTATACCAACCGTTATTTAACAAACTAAAATGTTAGCGCGTTCGGCTGAGCAAGTAGGTATCAATCATTGTACTACAGACGGAACATTCCTGGGAGCCGTGTCACGCTACGTTATATCGTGTTATCATTCGAATATTACATATTAGGCCATTAAATGCTCCGTGTACAGTAGCTTTTGTACAAGACATGATTGGTTGGATGACGTCGTTATTTTATTCGAACTTATATGAAGATGTCGCCACGAAGAGACAGGTGACAAGCTACGAGACACATTTTTTTTACGACAAGTTTCCGTTTCCTGCACGCAACGAATATCCGCACCCTCGTAAGAATGTCAATATACACCGCCGAATATACGATACTTCCTTTAATTAAACATATATGTCTATCTTTTCTTATCAAAAAGCAATCTAAATTTGTCTTAAAAAAAAGTTTAAATGAAATTAATTATACTTTAATAAATTAAAGTTTAAAAGAACGGGAAAAAAGAGAATATTTTTTGTTTAGAGATACTTAAATACAGGAAAAGATTAAAGAAAAAGTTTAAATGAAATTAATTATACTTTAATAAATTAGAGTTTAAAAGAAAATGTAAATTTTTTTATTTAAAGAACTTTAAATATAGGAAAAGATATCTCGAATAATATCACACCTTTGAAAGAAGAGCGTCACATCTTAAAAATGAAAAAAATGTTAAAAAGTTCCGTTCATTCATTAAAATAATAATTAATAAATAACATTTTATTTTACGAAGTCATAATTTTATTCATTAAAGAAGCAAAATAAAAATCTGTGACATATTTTCAGTCTTTTAATTTATATTATTTATAACTATAAAAATTCCATTGCATTGTCACGCTCTCTTTTCCGAGCTCCCTTTTCTCTATCTTCCAAGATATTTTCTAAGACTCTTAAAAAATAAATTATGATTACCTCCACTTTTAATAAATTTTTCTTAATTTTAGTATACCAATACATATATATTTCATAATTTCATTAATTTTTTTTAATTTATGGAATTGATTAGTTTGACTTTCGAAAAATTTCTGAAGGTACGAAAATGCGGAAATTGTTAACGTCATCTTTTCGCATCATTTATTCACCAGTGAGTTTTATCGAAGTCCGATATCGACGTGAACATTTCTCATCGTAATCTTAAGATGTACCTGTACTTGCGTGGGATTCTGATGGATCCCCTGATGTATTTGCTGTCCGGCCATACCGCCCGGTGGCTGAACCATGTACTCCCTCGTAACATTTTGCACCTGCTGCGCACCTGTCGCGGTTTGGCCGAAAGCAGGAACTTGGGTTTGATGAACTGTTTGAATTCCTCCTGGTGGAGTGTGGTGGGTCACGTGAAGCTGAGCGCTCTGTCCTGGTAAATTCGGCTGAATGGCCGCGGTCGGCTGCAGTTGGCCAGGTAGAGGTACATTTTGCTGGTTGCTTTGATAACCGTACGAATGACCATACTGACCTGAACAACAAGAGAAAATCCTATATTATTTCTGTTCATTACACAAAGAGAAATTAATATCTGCAGAGAAAAAAAAAACTATTATATTTTTCCCCGTTAAATATCTCTACATCGTATATTACCTCTTCGTTCAACTTGTTACATTTTTTATTCAATTTACATATTAAAAATGCATCGTGTAAAGATTTGAAGTAACTGCTTCAATAATTACATCCAGTATTGAAGTGCAACTGAAACATTGCATCATGAACGTACATACTCGTTCTGAACGCATCAGGAATGCTAAAATGTATGAATATGCAATGCGTACTACTGAAGTTAATTAAAAGGAAAGTTTCTCTATTTATGTAGCAACTACATACATTGAGGCACACGTTTACTGAACAAATTATTATTATAGCCATAGAAATTATATGGAGAACATTTAAAACGCTAAAGGCATGAAAGTTACAAAGAAGAGTTTAAACGCTAAAAGATATAAGAATATATATATGTGTATGTGTGTGTGTGTGTGTGTGTGTGTGTGTGTGTATATATGTATGTATGTATGGTGCAATGAAATTGAATATTATGGGAGCAATTTTGCATAAAAACAATCGTCGAAAATAGCGAAATGAGCTATATAAAATCTTACAGCCGAGATTTTCTTCAACATATGTACATACGTATCATCTTTTAAATATTCAATGACTACGACGACTTATCAATGTGTTCGTTTTTTCTTCTCATATATAAAAAGATTTTAAATTATTTCTGCATTTTATTCAACCCTTAAGAACTGGTGAATTATTAATTCGTTCATAGAAATTTAACGTTTCATCTATCGCTAATCTCGATTTGAGTGAATGATTAGGCGACGATTACACGTATATTAAAGCTTACGGTAGATCGTGAAATAATGGCGGCGATATTGCGCGTGCGAGACTCTCGTCTGCCCTGTGAATTTACAGGTTTGCACAACGAGTGCGAGAATACGCCACGCAAAAAGGAAGAAAGTCTCACGTGTCGTGCACGGTGTAAGCGACAAGTTGTAAGTTACGAGCGACTAGGTGAGTTCACTTATTAAATGAAAATCAGATATATAATCCAATAAGTTTTCACATCAATCAGGAGCAAGCTGTGACGGATAATGTTATCTTGGACGTCGTTATTTAAAGATGATTTAAAGATCACGAATAGAATTTGCAACTGTCCATTTTTAAATCGCATCAATTATTAATAAATAACAACATTTTTAATATTTATACTTTACAAATTTATTTATTAACTATTCGAACTCCTAACTGCACATAACAATTAATTAATTAACACCATTTTATGTCATTTGTGTGTAAATAAGTTTCAGTTTAATCAACAATATAAGTTATAAACAATATAAACTTCTTCCAGAAACAATCTTTGTAACATCAACTATTCATTTTTAAATATAGAGCTCCGTGCGTCTTGAAGGAACATAAAAGCCCGTTGCTATGCACGCAGGCTTGCAACACCGCCATTTAACGTTCCGCTCAACAGGCTCTTTCCTCAAATTAATTCATCAACATTTATGAGCTAATTAACGGCACCTCGCTGAGCATCGCGCCTTAACGCGCCTAATTGCCCAACCAGCCTCTTGCTCGGTCGCGTCCAACTTACCGTAAGCATTCTTCGAATATTGTTGCACGTTAACCGACGGCTCCTTCGCGCGGGGTTTTCCATAAATCCCTTCCTTCTTCCTGACCTCGTCATCGTCGGTGCTCCTGCTCGACTTTCGCAGCTCCTCCGTAACGTTGTTCAGACTGGCTTCCGGTTCCGGCTCGATGTCCTTGCGACTCGGTCCGAAACGACTCGAGATCATGTCCTTAATCGTGTGATAAGTTCTAGATAGTGACTTCGTCTTTTCCTCGTCAATCTTCGTCGTTCTCGGCACCGCTCCGCTAGACGATCTGAATGCAGCGCAATATAGGAAGTTTAATCTCTCGAGGGTATTAACGTGTTGTTATGATACGCGCCGCGAGTACGATAATGCCGGCATTAATATTACCGTTAACGATCGAGAAGAGATTTATTTATTTGCCTTAGCGTCGATTGTAATCGACGAATAAACGAGATAAACGCCAGATTGAAAGAAAGAACCGGTATCTATAAGATCAAACAATAGACACGCAGGCTTCTCTCGCTCGTATCTTTATTAGGAGGACCGTAATTCAACAGCGTGAAATAAGTATGAAGTAATTACGAGTAGGCGTCCTGTGACTGATAGTTCCTCGCTTGGCCGTCCTGTCTTACTTCCTGCATCTGAGTTCCCTGAAAAAAAAAAAAGAGGAAATGCATTCGCCTGGTGAGCGCGCGTCGTTAATGATCGGCACGCGTTGTTAATAAAATATCCTCCATAAAGGAAGCGTAAATTACGGGGCGTGCGTCTGTGTAACGTCCTATGTAAATCCGCTAACTTCGCGCAACTGCGGTTTCGTTAGATGCGTCCAATTAAGTCGTCAAACGAGGAGCACGTAATTGCGCATCGGCAGCATCAAAAACGAGGCCAGCGTCCCGCGAAGTATTCGCCAACTTACGCATCGACGAAACTTGCCTTTCGATTAAAAATAAAAATAAAAAACTGAACGCGAGGGAAGGACGAAGTCTAATTAAAATTGAATAAGTTCACCGCCCCGTTGTTAGCAAGTTGATATATTAAATTATTCGCCACGCACGGGCATACATTAATTTGTGTTAGGGGAAAGTTGTTTACGTAGTTTGAGCGTCAAAAAGCAATGGGGGAAAATACATTAAGCTTTCACGATGGGCAAAAGCGACCATGAGCTTTATGGTTGAGGAAACACCACACTGTAAATATCGCGTCGCGTTAAAAATAAATCAGTGCTAAAAAATTTTTATTCTTCAAATTTACTCTTTTTAAACTTTCAAAATGCAGTTTTAAAAATAACAATTTGATTTTATTATTAACTTAAAGTCTTTATATACCCCTATAATGTCGAGGAGAATAATTATTTTTGAAATGTTTTTTTAAATTATAAACGTAAATTATAAACATAAAAATTGTTATAAAGTCGTTAGAAATTAATTCATTTTATATTACAAATTTTTTAAAACTGAATAATTCTCCACTTAGATTATTACTGTTTACTTTACTGTTAGTAAATTGAAAGAAATAACAGTAAGTATTATCCTTTCTTTCTTCTTCTCTTTTGTGCCACAGGAAAATGAACAATAAGGAGTCGCTAGAGAGTCGAGACACATGGCATCTTAATTTCGTGTACAGTTTGTCAGAAATGGTTCTCTTCGAGAAGTAATTCATAACACGTAGCGTGCACTTATGACACGAATAGTGTCCCGAAGTCGTCTAAGTTCCAGCGAGCGGAACTCATCTAAAGTTTGTTCCTAAAAACGCGCTTCCATGCTGAGAGAATTCCACGCTGAGAATAAAGCGTTTAATAAGAGCGGCGACTTCGATGAAATAAGCCCTCGCGATTTTAACGATCATAGTTTGGGACCAGATGTTACAAAATTATGCAAAGTCAAACCATCCCGGGTACATAATTTCGCAGACAAGCAAGAAGTCAACCGTTACGTCGCGACCGTAGAAGGGATTCGTAGTTGGACGGATGTCGTCCGGGACGCAATTTGCGGGATTTATTTTCTTTCGCAAAGAGGACGCCAAACGAGTAATGTTTCAGTAAACCGCACGCTCATGTATAGCGAGCGAAACGTTAAGATGAAAGTTCTATAAAGATGTACCGACCAAGGTTAAGTTAAAGATGGGAAAACTCACGATAAACGCAAAGTATTATTAACTTAATATATAGCGTAATGTTTCGACGTAATAGCGATTATTTTGTTTATTATTAACCGTGGAGACAATCATTTCACAAAGATAAAGAATTCTGATATTTCATCAGTAACGAAGAAGATAATTAAAATCTTCCAAGCTTGTTGCCGTGGGAGAATTTAAATTTATCAAAATAATTAAAAAGAGTGTGCAATATTAAATCAGATAAAATACATTTAGTTTAAATGTTCTAAAACTGTACTATGACATTAATTTGCGAGAGGTGAGAAAGATTTATATTTATGTGTAGATATCCAAGAAATCAACAATCTTAATTAGTCACCGTAAGTTGTGCACTATAAACTTTCTACCACATCTCCATTTCAGTCTCCCTAAAGCAGCGTCGTTAAATTAATATGGTAAACTCCTCGTGTCACAACACGGGAGATTATGAATATACAGTGACGCGACGCGACGTGGGATATGATTCGATTCGGCCGTAATGACGGCGATGGTCGTAAAATAAAGTAATATGTTATCGACCTTCTCTCCCCAGGATCGAATATACAAGTCCCGTCGAAGGAGGACATCGGAGGCTATAACGGCCACGGTGACCGGCGTGCGTTGCCTCGCCGCGCCGGCCGCGCACGGGGAATTTCAAAGTTAACGCACTGAATCCTACGGTTCCCGGGAAGAGAGATGCGCCTGGAATAACAACGGTCGCGCGTAGGGCCCCGCGGACACGCATCGCGCATACGGAAAAGGCTCTCTGACTTATAGCCACGTTGATACCGCGCCGGGATTACAGCCGTGCGAGAGAGATAAAAGGCGGAGTTTTTCGTACCCGGCGCGCTACGCTTCGAAAAATCACGGCTCCCCGATGACGCGTTTGAATGCCTTTTATATAAGAGGAGGCGCCTCGTCGTTCAAACTGAAAGATAAAGATAACGTAAGATAAACGACCGAGACCCAATCGCGTATTCCTGCATATTATATGAAAAAGAGAAGAACAACTACATAATATCAAAATTGAGGAAATATGGACCATCCATTCTTGATTATCTTTTTCTATCTTATTAAAATAGACAACAATTGAAAATCTAAAAACTTCATATTTTTTTAGAAAGAAATTGTCAGTAGAATTGCAAAGTATATGTGTAGAAATGTAACTTTCCAGGAAAGTTGCTTCTCTTGAAAATAAAAAATAATGTTGCATTCTTCATCTTGTACATACGTGCGCTCTTTTTCGGTGGAACTTTTCAATTCATAGTATTTCCACATTGAAGGAGGAACTTTCACGACGAGACTGTGGCTCTAAAGCAGAGCCGTAGAGCACGGCTGTACGTGACGTTAAAAAGAGAAAACAAGGCTGAAAGCTGTAGCACCGCTGGCTTCCCTACAAAAGTAGGGAAAAATTTACTTATGCGAAATCCTCGAAGTTAGCAACACCCGAGGTTTCTGAGAGCGTAGGAAATAGGTTTACGAGCAACGTGGATCCATGGCGCGCGGCGGCGTGTCTCCTCCTGCCCGACACGGTGCGCCCGATTAAGTGTCGCGACGATGATGTGTATTATGTAAAGTAGGTTTAAGTAATTCGAAAGGCAACGAAAGTTGGCCATTCTGCACGCCGGAGCGTATCGAGCTTCGTCAGCTGCGTGCGAAATCGCGGAAAGGCGAATCCTTCCGTGCGTTCGCGTGGATATATTTCGTATCGTAATCTACAGCGAGTCAAATATACTCGCCTTCACCAAATTCAACAGCGGCATTCTCCGTGACGATGTTTCAAGAATGAAAAGAAAAAAAAATTCAAACGTTTACATCTAAAAACGAGAATATTTGTCATTACCAGGATTGGAGGATTTCTGAGAAATCAGCTGGCTTTTTTCGCCACGCAGAACATCAGGACAGTTCAGCGATGAAGTTGAATGATCAATCACAAAATGGGCGGAATAAATCCAGGAAGAGTGCTTATATTTATTGCATCGTTGGCACACGCAGTGCACGCGAGCTGCATCATCACTATTTTAAAACCGATCGCCCGGAGCATCCCATAAACGAGCACCGTTCTAGGATCAATGGAACCGACCAACAACTAGCCGAGGACCGATAACTGCACAGTTTATCCTGCGCGCAGTCTTGTAAACAGAAGAGGATTCGCGATGTACTTACAGTGTATTATGGGCGTAACTGTTAAGACCGCCTTGTTTTTGTAATGTACACGGGAATGTCATATCTACTACCAGCGGTGTGTCGTCTCTCTTTCTCATGGAACGTCGTTAACGCAAATCTCACCCGGTGGTGATCGTGCAGGATGTAATTTACTACTCCGTCAGTCGTACGATCACGAAGATGTTTCGTTCCTAACTAGTAACGAATCCACTTGGAGATATTTTTAATTTTAATTTAATTTATATTGCAGGTACTTTAAAAATAAAACTACAAAGATAAAAACATACACTAACAATAAGTAAAAAAAACGCAGATAGGCACCAGCAAGGCTGCTGCTATTAAACTTTCCAAAGATGCAAGAAGTAACAAGAAAATTTCCAAATCAAATCAAATACAATAAAATTATTGCAATAAATATTAAATTAAAAAATACAACTTTTGAGTCAATTAACTAAACTATAAACTATAATAAATTGCTTACCTTATGGTGATATTAATAAAAAAATATAACGTCGTAAAAAATAAAAGATATACTTATAGTTTAACATTTCAAAAAAATGAGTAAATTTTTCTTAATGAATATAACATAAGTTATAAAAATATAAATATATGTAATATCAAGACATTAAGAAAATAAAAAAGAAAAATATAGAAAAATAAAAAACTAAATAGAGTAATAATACAATTTAAAAAATGATACTTATTAAATAATACGTATTAAATTAATAAATAAGAAGTTAAATACAATAGAATATAATACGTAATGTTAAAAATGGAACAAAGTAAAAAAATCACAAGAATTATATCGACACAAGTGATTCATAAAAAATGAACAAAAAGTAAGTACATCGATCTTTTTTCAATCAATTTCCACACCCATCCCGTAAGATATCAATACATGTATTTATGTACAAAACCGGAAAAAGGATCGGCTGGCATGCGTGTTTCTGACGCCTACTGACGCTCGCGTAGGTGGCACGTGTACATACATAACGTTATACACACGTATACGCCCGATTAATCGAAGAATTTCGTAATGATCGTCGAACAATAGAGAGCCCGTTCTCAAAGTGGGACGAAAACTTCGTCACTCCGGCTACCGTTAGAGGTTTATCAACTTCGGTGAACATATAACGATCCGTTAGATTACTAAACTTGCGTTTACTGCATTCGAGGAAGGTAATATCGCTTGTACTTTAGATAACAAGAGAACGCAGATATGCGAGAAATACGGGGAGGTAGGGGAATGCGCTAACAATAAGTGACCCGAGCATCTCGTTACGCTAGCCGCTATTGTCCGGAAGAAAAGACGCGAAGAAATCAGCGCGGTTTATCCGCCGTGAGTTATCGAGGAAGATCCGACGACCTACCTCCTGAACCCAGGCCTGCTGCTTGATCGGCGCATCCGGCGCGATGGCGACTCTTCCGGCGATCCTCTGTTTGTACTCGTGAAGAATGGGGATCTTGGAATTCTTGTCACCCGACGACAGAATCAACTCGCGTTCTATCTGCAATCGGAAGAGACAGGGATTATCGTTTGCTTTTTAAACGGTTATATCTTTCCGAAAAGCGTACATTATTCAGGAAAGATTTACCGAATATTTCATTACGAATGAATTGTTTATTCATTCAGCGATAATTCTCAAATAGCTAATTAATACAAACTAATTGATAGACTCGAAAGATTTAGAGCATAAATTATTATAATTAATAATATAATCGTTTTTTTATTATTATTAATCGCTCACGCTTTTTATCGTGTTTATTAAAATTTCATTAGCATTTAGTGTACAATTTTTTCTGCTATTATTTCGAATGTAATTTTTATAAGACAAAAGTCCTAACAAATTAAAGTAAAAAATGATCAGATCGTTATTAATTATTTTCTCAGCCCACGCATAGACGGGACTACGCTCTGCTTCTTTTAGCAATTCTTCTATATTAAATTTTCATACCCCAATTTCCAATCTCGCAATTTCTTCAAATTGCCTTTGCAAGGATAATTGACGCGTTAAAGCAAATTAATCTAGCCGGTAAGCTTCTTTTCTTAGCTCGCGCGCAACCGAGCGCGCCGTGATGAGAGGCGCGCTGTATGCAACCTAGGTAAACAGAGCAAAAACAGACGGACGATATATAGTAGCCCGCAGACGGCCGCATCTCGCGCGCCGAGGGATTTTCCGCGCGGGGCTTTCTCGGCCGCTCGTCTACGTCCACGCGCGGCGAGCGCGGCGACGTGTGCGTTCGTTGCGTGCGCGTAATAACGCGCGCTAGCAGCGGAGTAGGTGTCACTGAACTAAACTGGCTGATGCAGCCAACATCGCCGGGCATATCGCCGGCCGCAGCCAACGCGCCGACGGCCGGGCATCGTGCTCGGAAGAAAGCAAGCGTGATGAAACGAGCTACTGCCGCGGAAAATAAATGCACGCGGATAGGTGAGCCCCCGTGCATAATCACGCTTGCGGATACATAACTACGCTCCGCGTACGTGCACGTACGAGAGTTCGTGCGCGGTCTCGTATGAGAGATTCACTTCTCCCCCCCCTCCCCCCCCCTCCGAGAAACTCTCGGACTCCCGCTCGCCGATTGCGTCGGAAAACGCGAGAAGAGTTCGATTACGAACGATCACGATCTCGTCGTACGGAAGATAAGCACGGTATTTTGGCTGTTAATCGTTCGCGACGTCCAATCTTCTGGACGTGCGGCTACGGATTTTCATGAGAAACCGGAGAGAGGAGCGAAAGAAACGTGAGCGTTTGCAAGGAATTCCACGAGCTCCGAATTAATACATTTATTTGCTTCGAATGTCTGGTATCTATATAAATATGCGATTCTCTGACGACGATGTACAAATGATATCATTATGTATAAATGTATATAATAAAGCGAGTAAACGCGCGATATAATGTATGCATTTGTAAATGAACGTATCATATTTTTGGCAAAATATCTAGTTTGACGACTCGCCTGGTTTCCCAGAATCATCTATAATTATTGACCAAAAGCTCAGATAACAATTCACTGTAATTTATACTTCGCTTCTTAAAGATAAGTTATTTAACTTTCTAAATATCAAAATTTACCGAGTGTTGCAAGTAATTAAGATGCGAAAACGCCAACAAAGTGGATCTTGGTGCTTGATAATATTGTAATATGTGAATCTTACAATTCTTATTGTTAGTTCAGACAAACTGCGCGCCGCGTAATCGTCGGTCTGGCTGAGGTAATATTTTTCGCAATAAGTGACTTTCACAGGAATTAAAAAGATGCTTCATGAGCATCGAATTATTAGATTGCCTTGACAATTTAATTGTGATATTACATATTATTTGGTTTGGAGTTGCGTTTTAAAGATTGACGATTATACGGCACACAGTTTGTCTTAACTGACAAGAATTGTAAGATTCACATATTATAATATTATCAAGCACCAAGATCCGCCTTGTACTATGTTGGGATTTTTGCATCTTAATTATTTAATTTTCTTATAAATAATTTATAAATAAATTTGTACTTATTTCAATATATGGTGCATTGTTTGAGAAATGGGTCAGTTGGCTTCATACAAGATTTAATTTGTGAATTGATATAATCAAGAATGTATTTTCCAATTATAATAATAATACAAATAAAAATTAATAAAAACACATGTTTGTTAAATGTTCATAATTTTCACATTTTTTCACGCGATAAATACGACTTTGGATTGTTTGCGCAAAAGACAATAGGAATAACGCGACGATATTTAACGTGAAGCGCGCAGCGAAAATACAGAACGGAGAAATTGATCGGAAAGGTTGGGAAATGTAATAGCACAATAGCGTAATTTTTTTCATATTGCAATTTCTTTCTACTGCACGCTACATTCGCTTGCTTGCCTCTTCTCCTGGAAGTAATCCAAATGACTGCGTATATTTCTCTTTTTCGAGAAAGAGACTTGGCGGTTACATCGGTTATTCTCCGCAGGGTGGACGGGACGGAATGTGACGTCACACATCGACAAGCGCACACGCGTACGCGCGCCGGTGTATTGCGTCATAAAGAGTAGATTATAAAAAAAGCACGAGGAGGTACGACGACGGTGGCGATGTTTTGCGGAAGAAATAAAGCGTGCTAATAGAGGAACGGCGTCACGAGAAGGCGCGTAACGCGGTGCGTCGGGGCGTAAACTCGCGAATAAAAATACCGATCGATTCGCGCCTTCCGGGGATGATAATAGGATGCGATAGAACTCCGAACGACTGCATCTGCATCCAGTGATATTGGATTTCCCTCCTAACTACGGCTCTTGTGCCCGGCACTTAAGAGACATTGAATCTTTGATGGAGAACAGTCTTTTACGGGTGGTTCCTTTAGTGGCCATAATCTCAGATGTGATCACTATTGTTGTTCCCACATGGACAGACCATTCCAGAGTCCTCAATCTTGTATCTCAAAGAAATATGATAATGTGTGTGTGTGTGTGTGTGTGTGTATGTGTGCGTTTGAAATAATATTCCGTAGTTAATTAAATTAAATTAGTCTAAAATAAATTCAATCGACGCTTTTACTTAGGAGCTGTCCATTACGTAAACATATTTTTGGCCATTTTTTATCCCTCCCCTCCCCCATGTAACCAAATGTCAGAATTTTTTAATCCTCCCCCCCCTCCCAATTACATAAGATTTTCCCATATGCTCGATGTATAGTTAATATTGCTTACTGTTTTTCATGACAGCAACAGACATGAAAAATCTTACGTAAAGAGATAGGTACGACTCCCCCTCTCCCCCAATCATGCTTACGTAATATATGGACGGCCCCTGCTTTTCAAATTACAATTAAAAAATGCAGAATTGTTCACGAACAAAATCGAAACTTATTTCTTTAGTAAAACAATTTTACTTTCTTGGAATTTTAATGTAATTCTTGATTGCTAAGTTATTTAATATATATAATATATATGCAGAATAAATAAGAAAGTACAGTAAAGAATATATAATGTCAAAAAAATTCTTCATTCTTTCATAGCTCACTTATCAAATGCCGCGAAGTTTGTGATAATTATTTAAATTTATCAGTTCATTAGACAGAATTCTCCGCATTTTAATTGAATTTTCGTTACAAAGCACAAAGCAGCGATCCAAACACGAGAATGTAATCACTCTTTCTCCGTCAAAGAAGAATTAATTCACAGAGAGTCCGCAGGCTTTTATATTCACGCGATAATTAAAACGCTACAGGACGATTGATCGCGACGTGACAACGTTTAACGAAAAAGGATTAATTAACATTGACTCGCGATCGGATATCCCGATCGATCGGCGTGCTGGACCGTGCCGCTTTTAGAATTTTCCACATCGATCGAACGAGCCCGTACATGCGTGCGTGCATGCGTGCGTATATACGTGACGTCACGCGAGCCAACGACGGCGTGGAGAATTGGCGCGAAAGGCAGCGGTTGAAATGGTAAATATCGAAGAGTAAGACGAGAGCTGGATTGCCCCGATTTATATTCCCACCTGCGGTCGTGCCGATTCTTGCGGCGCGGTGTGTATCTAAACGGCTATCGCGAGTAAAGCTCCCCCCCTTACCCGACTTCCGGCGAACGGTACGCGCGTATGATGCCCCCTTTGTCTTGGTGGAGAACCTCTGAGAACCTTCCCAAGAACAACGTAACTACAGCGTACAACGAACTGTTACCGAAGATTTCACCGTGGACCGTGTGCTAATTCCTAATGCCGAACGCGGAAGATCAACGCGCGCCATTCGTACCGCGTGATTACGCGAGTACGCTTCAGCTAATTAGCCGGAATTGGCGGAAGGTCAGGCGACGAGAATCAAAAGATGAGCCCCGATAGACAATTAGACAATGGAGAAAATTAGAAATTAAAAATGAATCATCGCGGGCGTCGAATGGGGAAGATAATGACGCGGTAATAATTGACGGCCGAGATGAAATACGAGATAACGCAATCAAGTGCAGAAACTCACTCGTTCAAACGCTCCCAGATTTATATTGGTAGAAAACAAATGTGTGACTGAATATTCATCTCGAGTGACGTGTAGAAATTTGATCTCGTTATACGAGTTTGTCAACTGTATAAAAATTTTGCTTCGGCGTCTCTCGCGACTCTGCAGCCGCGAGTGGCATTATAATTAAAGCCCGGTTCCATCGTGTTCAAGAAATCTAGTATGATTCTAGAAAGTCTAACCGTTTATACCGAATAAAGCGTGACATCGCGAATTCTACTCATTCTTTCTTGTTATACTTAACTCCGCGGCCTCCGCAAGAAGACGCATCGAAACGCACGCGTCTCCTTATTCAGAAAGCCGCACGCATTCGCGTCGCGTCATCGGTGCAGCAGCTTGATAGTTGCACGTGAAATCGCCAGCAGAAAATCGCGGCATTATCGAAGTTTCTATAATTAACGAACATCCGATTGAAAGCGTAAGCGACGGCAGCTATAAATGACATCTGGAGAAAAGAAACTTGTTATCACGGATGTGTATCACTGTCCTAGAACTTACAACCTTTTGCTTTAATAAATTTATTAATAAATCTGAAGCAATTTTCTCTTTAAAGAGCTTCAAAAGAAGTTGTCATCTGCTATGTTTTTACATTCAACATTCAAGATATAACGAAATGTTAAATTAAAATTTTTTTAAATTAAGATCTATTTAAACAGTACATTTCATAATTAGCATAATTAATAATAATTTGATAAGGGTTATTTTTAAACAAATTTTTATTTTATTATTTTTAATAGTTTTATGATTTTCTAAATATTCTCTATTTTTATCAAATAAATTTTTTAAATTTAGTAAGTAAATAAAGCTTTCAAATTTTAAAATCCTTTCTTTTAACACTTTATACAGCCATTGCAAACATGTATTTAACTATAAAAACATCCGTTAATGCCTTTGATCAACTTTGATTACATTTGAAATTAATACGCTTGGTGGCTCGTTAATTAGTTCGTTTATAAGCATATACAAATTATCACGATTTAGGCTATTCAAAATTAGCAACTAATTGAAAGCGCCTCTCCGAGAGACATTATATATCATTATCACCGATATTGTTAATTTTATGAAAAAACTGCACGTGAATATCTCTTATATAAATAAATGTAATTAACTGAAGAGTTGAGAGAACAATAATGAAATTTTCTCTGTGTTTACCAGACGCGAAATTTAATTTATCAAAAGCAACGTATACACGTTATTCTTCGAATAGGCGCTTTAATTTTTCAACGTGCAAAACAAGCGAAAACGCGTGTCACACGGCGGCGTGTATTCGTTTTAATACAAATTTCAGCGGGATGAAAAGTGCCGTCGAAAGCGTGTATAACAGAAAGAAAAAAAAATATTACGAAATGCAGATACACGACTAGAATGTGAAAAGACGCATTCAATAGAAGCGCAAAAAAAAAAGAAAAAAGAAAAGAGTGCTTGTCGCGGGACGGCAAAGATTTAGAACCACCATTGCCCGCATTATGAGTCGCGGCGTCGCTCGGTTCTTTTTCGTCTCATTGTTCCTTGGTACATATACGGGACGACATGAAGCGAGCAAGGTGTCGCGCTCGCCCTCGTAGGATAATTAGTGACCTGTTCGTTCAGCGAAGGTGCACTGGCCCCGGGTGAGCCACAGCGGAAAGCTGTGATTGTGAGTGAAAAAAAGCTTGACTACGCTGCATGAAAGAAAGATTTTAACTGGATACTCGTATGGTTTCGACGACTTTTGACTTTTATTGCACGTACAAATGAAATTAATTTTCATATTAATTTGTTAAAAGAATATTACGCAACAATGTTAAAATATATAACTCTTTTTATAATTATATGCAAAATCAAACTGACCGAAATTATGACGATTTCAATTAATTTTAAAAATTGCTATTAAGTGCGTTTTGTATCTCAATTTAATAATCTTTATGACTTATTAATTTGCATATTGCGTAATTATTTTGATGAGAGGAAACAAGATAAAATATCTTTATTGTAATTTGACCAATGTTCGACATTATATTGAAAATAAAAGACAATGCCGATAACGTTAATTAATTGTGACTATCTTTATTACATCTATCTCAATCGGATATTTTATTCGTATTTGGTTATTTATATTTTATTTATGTCAAAAATGATCATTATACTCTACACTATCAAATGTATTCGAGCGTCAAATGTTTTAAAATGTTAAAATGTAATATAAGATTTATAATAAAAATATAATTCTCGCCATAATATATTTCCGCACGAATACATTATGCTTTAATTATTATTAAAAGAGGGGGAAAGAGAGAAAGAGAAGAAAAAAGAGACAAATTGAATAATAAAGAGACTTTGACAATCACATTGCAGTTTTCCGGATAAATGCCGGAAATCACGGCGAGGAAGAAGTGACCAAAAATAATGGTGCTATAATTCGACCGTTCACGTGCATTATCGCACTTACCGGGAACTTGCTGCTGTGAGTCTGCAAACTGGCCGCCTGTTGAGCCTGACCCGAACTCTGCTCCTCCCCGTACAAGGGTGGCATCCTGTATTCCGGTGCGAAGGGCTGCCCGGCTGCACTTCGAACTTGCCCGTTCTCCGCGACGCTGCTCCTTTCCGGACCGGAAGTCGTTCGCAACGACGGCCGTTCGGCTACCGGCTGCTCCCGGTGCTCGTCCTGCTGAACGTCCTGATTCTTCTGATTGTTCGACACCGGTTTCGGTGGTGGCACTGGCTTGTAAGGCCCCTCTTCATCTGCAGAGAGAAATACATAATTGCTCTTAACGCGTTCTCGCTCCGACATAGCATATTAATTTTCCGAGATAACATATTAATTTTAATTAAATTAAAAATGTGTATCGAAAAAAATGCAAATGACGCGGCAACTTGATTTCTCCATAATTATACTCTGCAAACAATTTCATTTAATGTGATTTTTTATACAGAATCTTAATTAATATTATTCTTTAACGGGTATTGTTAATACTTTTGTGTATTTTTACGTAAAATAAAATCGGCAAAGAAAGCGTGATGTGTGTATACATATTAGAGGTGTGAAATAAATATTAATATATTCATCGCCAAAGCGCACATCTGTGAGCCTGTGACATGAATGTGTTAAACAACTTATTCAAATGAAAGACATGTTTAGGAAATTGCTATGTATTATACATAAGTCTGCTGAAAAGTGAGAACTATATTAAAGACATTTTATACTCGCGTAGATAAAGATTTATTCGTAAATAAAAGACATAAGATACATTCTCATAATTTCGCCCATAGTCATATTCACGTAAGCCGGTCGTTTACTCGATAATAAGATGCTAATTGCAAGTTAAAGTACGATTACTGCGAGTTAATTTAAGTTTACGCTCGTAAATATATTACTTTCTCGCTCCTCTCCAGTCTTTTTCTCGTTTTCTCCAGCGCGCTTTTACGTACTAAAGTCTCATAATATTTTCAACGCAATTACAGCAGAACGATCGTAACGTGAACGATAGTTACACGCGTATGTGGGGTTGCGTATTATTAACGTCACATTATATCACTGCTTACGTCCTAACTAACTGCGTTCGCGTGAATTCCGCGGGAGGTGCAACATACATATTTCGGTGCAACTAGATCGCAATTAAGGCTCGGAGATAAGGACGTGCGAGTTACATAATTATGAATCTACGTTCTTGAAGAAACACGAGCAGCCTGGTGGTGAGAGACCAACCACGCGCGCGCGCGCGCGCGCGCGTGTGTGTGTGTGTGTGTGTGTGTGTGTGTGTGTGTGTTTACGTGTGTGTGTGTGTGTACCTTGGTTCTGATTCTGCCGCCTGAGACGATTCTCCTGCTTAACTTTGCGGACGGTGGTGGCCATCGCGTGTTGGCTGACCATCTCTGACGAATACTTTCGCAAATATACCTCGAGTCCCCTGTTTTCACCCTCGATGGCTTCACCCCAGCGAAATGAGTTGTCGACAATGACAGGGGCCCCGGGTCTGTTTTCGACCCGATGTGCGTGTCACCTCGGATAATGGGGCGTTCTTAGATGAAATCCTCGCCTGCCCATGGTCGATTACTATAATCGTCGGTCTACGATTTAAGATTTAAACTCGCTCGTAAAACATAGAAAAGTATGCACTATGCCGATCGCGCGAGAGCTGGTACAGTTGATGACTTATAGATTTGAGGACCACCCAAGACGCGGTTTCTTGCGCAAATTGAAAGTCTTTTCGCCGCGCGTCAGCAAATTCTTTGTTTTAGCACGAGAAGGAGCCTCCCGACAGTAGATGACAGACCACCAGCTGTCGCGTCGGACACGCCGAGCACTTTATAAGATTACAAAATTCATTAGTTCTCCTTCATTAAGACGTTGCAGCAGTTTATCTCGAATTAGTTTCGCTAATTTCTTCGCACTGTGACCCGTTTACTCGTTGAGGTGTGTACGCTAATTTGTATTTATAGCGCCGTACGCCTTTTTTTGCAATTGACGCGCGAGACGATGATTTCACTTTAATTAAGGAAACGAAGGGTGATAACACAACGAATTAAAATGCATGCTGGTTCTGTTAACGCAACTTCGGAAGAAATTGGGTTAATTAGCATTCTTCTAACGCGACGGGCTTCCGTTTCGCAGACGGCCTTTTGTTTTGCCCACGAAAATCACATGGATCCCCTTTTTTTTTCTCAAACAGGCCGTCATCATCTTGTCACTTTCACGCAAAAATGCTTATTGTTCGGCGCAGCGAAAACTCCTCTATTTTTCATGCGGTTGCGCACGAAAAGAGAACGCATTTGAAGCCGCGGCTACGGAATAACTTTCCTCGTTCAGCGGGTTTTATATATTCCACGAAAAAATTCGCGCGCTGACGAACTAAAATTTCCAGCGTATTTGCATCGGGAGGAAGAAAATTGCGGTGCGCCGATCGTTTTCTTTGATTTTCCCGACGAGGCTCCAGATAATTCATCACCAATACGACGCGTTTAAATTTTCGCGCACCATTTCCGAAAATGGAAGTTAATGTACAATGTCTCTCGCAAAATTTATCGTCCCCTTTCTTTTTCACGGGGAGAAAGCTTTTTCTTTGCCATAGCTTAATGGGCGACTTTCCTTCGTGTGTGCGTCCTTTTTTCTTCCACCCTCTTTCTCTCCGTCTCTCGACGGTTCTTGTAATATCCCCGATCCAATTTATTCAACCGCTGCCTTGATTACTCGACGATGTTATTTGCTGCTCCCCGAGACTTCCGGCGCTTCACAATAAAACGTACTTTGTTTGCTACGATAATGCAACTTCAAATAGAACGCTTCTCCTACATTTTTTATCCTTTATTAATTCACTTGCAAATTTCTTTCCGATTGAACGATCTATCATCCGTCTTCTCTGCAAATTTATCATTCGATCGGACACACACACAACTCCCGCGCGTATAACGATAACAGAAATCTCAATTGACGCGCGAATTCAATCGTTCACTTATTCTTCCGAATCAAATCTGTGAACATTCAATTTTTTTTCTTATTCAACCTCGATGAAATTCCAGTCAGTCAACACGGCACACCAGATTAAGCCGACGATCTACTTGTAATTCAGTCGTTCAGGTTCACATTATTGCTCTTGAATCTTCGGATTGCTTTTTCCCGATTCTTTGTTCTTCTTCTAATCTTCCTTTTGCGCTGGATGTCCAACCGAATATTAACATCTCTCTGGATCTCAGCGCTTTCACTTCCGAGTATCCAATCAACTCTCTCACGAAACGTCGCACTTTCAATGAACCTCCTCGAGAAGGCTAGATATCGAGACGACGCGACTTTTCCTCGGTGGCTGTTCGCGCGTGACTCGCGTTCGCGCGAATGACGAGCGCACGCCGGTCGCGAAAGAAGCGGATTTTCCTTCGCGCGCGCGAGAGAGCGAGCGTGATGTGTAGCCACCTTGGAGCAGCTCGCGCCGGCGGAGCTCAAACTTTCCATTGAGTGAACGTCGTGGTTCCGCCGTTCTGACTTCACTTCCGGTATCGTCCCACCACGAGGAGTCATTATAGACACTCCGGCGGCGCGGCGGTGGGAGCGAGCGAGACGGAGAGGGATGGACGTACGACAACGGGGAGTGATTGCTGGAGCAGGCGGAATGAGATAGTCGAACGGCGAGAGAGGGAGAAAGAAAGAGAGAGAAAGAGGTAACGACGTGTGGTGAAAAGGGAGAGAGGCCGAAGAGAGAGGTCGCAGGAGGGACCAGACCGACGCACCGGGATAATTTATTCCGCGCTCATACGCGGCCGGGCTCCGCGACGCGCATCCGACGAATATTAAGCTGCCTCGGTCGCTACCGCGATACCTCGATCACAGATCGTTAGATCTGCAGGAATCCTGGAGGAACGCACGAATTCACGACGAATTTTTGTTCCTCAGCTTGCAGTTTTTGCTCGGGCCCATGCGTGCCACAGACAATCGTGTTTTTCAAGTGAATCAATAAACTTTTTCTGTTTTCTGTGAATATGTATTATAGAAAAGCAAAAAAATATATAGTTTCTATCTTGGCTCGATAAAGTTACGACGGCTTGGTGATGGAATTGCAGTGCTCGTGTGGTTTTCTAACTCAAAACGTCACCTTTTAATAAATATAGTTCTAAATATAGTTCTTCATATTAAATTGGGATGAGATCTAAAGTTTCTTAGCCAGATACTCCGCTATGGTTTAGGGATTAATGGGAGTTTGTAAGAAATTCTTTTATAATTCCTTTCGTGAGCTTAATAACTTAACGAAGTTATGAAGCATAACGCAAGAAGTTGAACAAAGTTTAACCATTTCCAGACATATACTTAATTCAATGACAACTCGCCCAAATTTCAAATAAGAAACAGTTAGTTTCTCTCTTGACAAATTTTAACCGGTCAGTCGGTAAATTTGTCAACAATTTAATTCACAACCTATATATTTTTATAAATTAAAATAGCTGAAAAAGATCGTATGTTCACAAATTTACAGTTGTTTACAGTGTTCATATATTTTTGTAAATACATACGAATTCATAATACATATATTATTTTATACACAAAAATATTGCAACTTATGTTATTTATTCAACTTAATAATACAGTTTACTGTAATCTTTAATATAATTTGTTAGTATAATACTTAATAATTCAGTATACAGAGATACAAAAATTATAAAATTGAAATTAAAAATATACTTTCTGAGTAGATTCTGCTAATAAGATTACTTAGGCAAATTATAAACATGGAATATATTTATACCTTATATTTTTCTTTAAATAATTTCACATTTCCGTATTTTCAGATTAAATATGCGTGTGTGCCTTCTAATTTACAAATTCAATAAATTTTTAAACATATTTTCAAAAAGAGAATTAGAATTTTTTCTTATTTAAAATAATTTAGAAAATTTTACTTTGCACATAAAAGCCCTCATTCACTTGATATATCGTTTTCGTTCCTTTGATTTTGCATTATCAAAATCTACATCAATTACGAGCGACAATTTAAATGGAGAACAGCTTTGCATTCAAGGTAGCATTGCGGGACGAATTAAGGCCCGTGATTCGAGGGAAGAGACGAAGGAAAAGTCCGAACATCGAGCAATTGCTTTATGGTTCGGCGATATTTCCACCGCCGCGCCGGTAATAACACGCTGCAGTGCACGCTGAGGAGCAGAAAAAAGACGCGATCGAAACACAGATTAGTGGTTGCCGATTGCGTAGAATCATTATCGGAATGTGGGGCACCGCAAAGATAAGAGCAAATGCACGTGCGGCCTTTCGCGGCGATCGGGGAAAGCCGGCTCGGGCGAAGATGAAGAGGCACCACCTTGAATCCACTCGTTTAATTCCTATCTCGATCCGTGCAGCTCAACATTCAAACGCTCTGTTGGATTATCGTCTTTGCCGCGCGAGATAGCTGAACAAATTCCCATTGCCACGCTCGATATATTTCTAATACGTATCGGAATTAAGTAAATCTCACGGTCGTGACTTTCACGGCTTTCAATTGAAGATAACAGATATTAATTGGTATAGCTTCGCGACACGCACACTATCCAGTCTCTCTTGCAAATGGGCGCTATTTATTAGCCAATATTCGAGAAATGTTTGCTCATTTTCTATACAATCTTGCTTTTGACCTCATTTTTTGCAATTTGATCATTGGCGTAACGTACTAATGGTTAATATACGATCCGCACAATGATATAATTTAATCTCTTAGTTGACGTCTCAAGGATCACGTAACAGTTATTTGTGATCGCAAAACGAGAAAGGTAAAAGTCCTGTCACGGCTGAAAAATTTTGCATACACAACCACCTACTCATTCTCTATCCTATCCGTCAGTTTTAACCACCGTGATGGATCATCGCCTCGACGCGACGGCATGGATTACCATCTTCCTTCGCGGTGCACCTGAGATCAATCAACGGATACGGACTCGCGGTTGTTATTGGTTGAACGCGGATTTCAGTTACGCCCACCTGTCAATTCGGTTCTGCCTCGATTTAAAGCACTCTGAAAATTTCCTTTCACATAAATTTTCACGCTCGCCGCGCTCGATCCGGCATCTGTAATTACGTTGGTTTCGTTTCTTTTTTTGCACGCGCGCACCATATACCGATCTCCGCCGGCGGCCAGCATTTCCAAATACGGAATTTAGCATAGAGCTGTAAAGCCGGGTGACAACGCGCCGCTACGGGAATTCGATTCGCGTGATTCGATCGAGAGTCGTCGAGCAGAGAGCTCGATATCGTGCTTTAGTCGTTTTCCTATTTTCTCCGACTCTTCCTTTTCCTCGGCGAACTCGTTTCTCGGCGATTCAGCGCGGCGAACGCCGCGGCCGTGCCGATAATCCACTCCGCCGTCCGACGCTTGTCGAGATCGAGGGATTTTTTAACAAATCACATATACCCGTGCCGTGTGCTTACCCCTTTTCGCAGTCGACTTGATGGCCGCTCGCAGCCACTATCGATTTCTGCTATCGAGTCTGATTATGCTCGATCGCGCGGAGGCGCGTGAAACGTGCTACGAGATTATACACGCGAGCAACAGATATTCCTGTAGGAAAGTCCTGTCGAGCGTGCAGTTTACTTGGTATTGTAAATGTATACTTACAAACATAACGTAAAGTGTGCCAAAACTAATCGTGCTCTTTTTTTCCAAGTGCTAATCACTGCCCACTAATAAGAAATTTTCACGAGAAAAATTTTTTTTCAACATCAATGTACGCTTGCACAATAGTGTACGCAATACATTTCCTTGAATATAAATTACGGGAATATTATAACGGACAAGAATGTCCCATTTTCCATGATAATAGCACCGTATTATTATGCAGAAAGACCTTGTATAAGTTTCGTAGTGTTGTTATTTCCCCATTTCTCGCTCACAAGTTTCGCTGTTTGCACTTCATCATGGAAGAAGTTATCGCTAATAGTCGCTGTAACATGTTCACGGTGTAATCTTCCTTGGAACACGCAAATAGTAGTGTCGTCAGATTGTTAATTAGAATGCTGTTAATTAGTATGTTAATTAGAATTAAATTCGTCCGCAGATTCTCTACCAACTTGAGATCCATATCTTTAAGTTGACAAAAATGTTGGGAATTTAATATTACTTAAAAATTAAATACAAAGAGCATCTTAAATAATAAAGAATCAGGAAATCGTAAAATAATGTGAAAATCCACAAAGATTATCAAAAGAGATGACAAAATCTTTATTTAAAAAACGACCCAAGATTAGTATTATCCCCAAATAAAAGACGAGCTGATAAGTATAAGAAGAACTCTCGCTGTTTATCATTTTCGCATTTCTTATACGTTTTCCGTTTTACTAACGCATCATTAAAATGCGGATAATAATCCGGATCTCAATGCAAAACCCATTCTCCCGGCATTCCTAGCATCCTTCCCGTCGATATTGCCGTTAGTTTCGCACCGTATCGCTCCTCTCTTCGGGGCATCCATTGCTGGAATTAAACCCCACGCGCGATTCTTGCTTTTCTGACTCCGACGGGATATCGCGGCAATATAGCGTTCGCGTTCCATTTAACCGGTTCGCTATCAGCGGACGGACGCAACGTCATCGGAAGATCCGCCGTGACATCCGATCATGCCGCTCCGTTCGCCATCCTCTCGCATCCTCTCGCGTCGCTTCTCTATATGCGCTTGCACCCTCTTCGTTCCTTTATCGCTCGCTCGTTACCGCGGCACGCACGACGAATACGATGGGAAATGTGCGTCGAGGTTTCAGGATGGCGAATTCGTTTGATGTCACCGTACGCTGTCGCGTTCGACGTTTACTTTACTCGCCAAAGTTATCGGCGGACCCTCATCGATTCTCAGCGCGAGGCAGCGTGCCATCGCGACGCTCGAAAAAGAGACGCGGTATGTTGCATACACAACGTTGAAAAACTAAGGGTTAGACATATAAAGGGATGTTGATAGTACTCGCAAGAATAAAGGAAAAATTTTAAGTCAGGCATCTAACCTCATACATGACAAGATATCAAGAAAAAAGAAGAAGAACTGATAAACTTATTGAAAAATTCCGATTAAATGTTTCGGAAAAGAAGAGGTTGTCTGTATATGTTAAGTCAGTGCCCAGTAATAAATTTTACTTTACTTTCTATTTGAAATTTTCATCTTTACTCATTGAATACTTTCAGAAAGTTGAAGTAAGTCATTATTTTATCAAAATAGGAGAAGTAGTAGTCTCATTACCATACTTATATAACAAGCAAGTAACTTATACTTAGAGAGTTGAGCGACCTCCATCCATAAATTTAGCATAATCTTTAGGTATGCTTCTTGTTTTCTGCAGTAAAGAATCGAGATATTTATCTCAATGTTTATTAAAACATATTCCCTTATTTTCTTAATGATACACGCACAATTCCGAATTGAGTCAGCCTGAAA